TTATTAACATGAATCTGTTCAAAATATTTCTAAATTATTGTTTTTAATGTCTGAGTATCTGCAGGGATTCTCCTTTTATATTGCCAATATTTATATTTTGTGTGTTCCTTGTTATTTTTTTCTAATTAATTTGACTAGAAACTTATCAAACATTTTGATCTTTTAAAATAGGTAGCTTTTAGTTTCAGTGATTTCATTAACATTTTCTGTTTTTAATCTCACCGAGGCTACAAGCTCTTTTATTTTTTATTTTATTCCTTCTGCTTTTTTTTTTTTTTTTTTTTTTTTTTTTTTTTTTAAAAGGGTACTTATCTTGCTTAGAGTCAATCGAGTTTATCATCTATAAATTGTTGTTTTTCCTCACCGTTAGAAAATTCTTAGCCGGTATGTTTTCAAATTTTCCTGTGTTCACTTTTGTATTTTGGATGTCAATTGCACATAATGTTGAACTATTTGATGTAGTCACACAGTTCTTGAATGCTCTTTTGTTACTTCTCTATTCCTTTTCTGTGCTTCTTTGTGTTATATTAGTATTAAAATGAATAGGATTTTAATATAATATTTCTATCCAAAATGTCGGTGGGCCCTATTTACTTAGCGAAGGACTTGACAAAAACTGACTGAGATTCCTTGAGGAAGAGGAAATTATATCTCCAAATTGCCTGTAGGCTTGAATAGCAAAACCACTTCTTCTGTGGGTCCCCATCCTACTAGACTGCTCTTCAGATTTCAGACTTGCCAGCCCTCACAATTGCATGAATGAAGTGCTTATAATTAATCCTACTGATTCTTTTTCTCTGGAGAATCCCAAGGAATGCTACCCAACACAAACCCACCTTCTAATTCCTGAGTTAGTGGTATATATTTTTGTTGTTTGTTATAGTAATATCTCATTTCCAGTGTCAATTTTTGTTTCATTTATGTATGTGTGTGAATCATCTCAATTTATGAGGTTAAAATAATAAAAAATTTTAGTTGCTCACGATTCATGTGTTAAGAATTTTGAGATTAGCAGTCCTGCATTATCTCGGCTCTATGATACCTAATTCTACAATTGGGATGACTGAAATGGATGGCTTATGCTGGAATGGTGTGATTTAGACCACGAGTTTGTGGCCTCAGTCCCAGACAACAGCTAGATGCCTTGGTTCTTTTCTATATATCAGTGTATCAAACCTGAACATCTTCAAAGTATAGCCATTTTGGTATGTCAAGAAGATTTTTGTATAGAAGCACTTATCAAGACTCTCCTTGCATTATGTTTGCTATATTGGTCTGCTTTAGCTGCCATAACGAAAGGCCACAGGTGATGTAGTGTAAACAATAGAAATTTATTTCTCATTGTTCTGGATTCTGGAAGTCCAAGATCAAGGTACCATCAAGGTTGGTTTCTATTGAGGCCTGTTTCCTTGTCTTATAGTTAGCCATCCTCTCTTTGTCTGCCCATGATTGCCCTCTGTGCACTCACATCCCTGTTATTTCTTCCTCTTCTAATAAGGACACTGGTCCTATTTGAGTATAGCACCTCTGTCTCCACTCCAGAACAGAGGAAAATAAATTAGTACTACTATTTATATATTACCCTGTCTAAAGTGTTTTGTTATTGTATTCAAAGTGGACTAAGACACTTTTGTGAAGGCTCAGTGTTCAAATATAGTTAAATTGGGGGTTAGGGCTTCAACCTGTGAATTTAGAAAGTTTGATTAATTCAGTACATAACATTTTCTCACGTTTCATTTGGTAAAGCAGGATAAATGGCCAAGTCCAGAGTCAATTTGGCAGGTAGACCAGTATACTGGGGTAAGAAGATTGGAGATGTGGCGTAATAGGTTTCCATCAACAGTTAGCCAACTGGACAAAATGTATTTACAACTCAGTGAAACCGCTACTTTTTGACAATCTTTTATTTGTTTTTTACGTAATTGTTCTTGTCATCTCCTTTTCTGTGCTGTCAGTCATGTGTCACATGTTATTTATCTTCAAAATTCCTTCTCAAGGAACACATTAACCTACTACTCTGCAGTCAAAAATGTCTTATTAAGAAAATTACTTAAAGAAGAGAGCAATCACAAATTTAATAGTTTTTTTTGGGTATAATTAAATCTCTCGTCATTACAGTGTGATAGAGATTAAATAAGTAACTCTTAAATATTAACTTATTTAGAGAGTAAATAAGTAACCCCATGTAAACTAAAAAGGAAGAAATTAATTAGACATGGTGGTATGTATCTGTGGGGCAGTTACTCAGACAGCTGAGGCAGGAAGATCGCTTGAGCTGAGGTCATCAAGGGTGCAGTGAGCCATGTTTTTGCCACTGAACTCCAGCAGGGGCAACAGAGCATCACCTTATCTTTAAGAAAAGTATTTATATATAAATAAAAGAGAGAGAAATGAAGAGAAAAAGAGTTATACCTGATTTGGGATTTGGTTGGATGATTTAGGGAAGGTCCCAAAGAATTAAGGGTTTCCTATAGATTCGGTGTTAATATGGGGAGGAAGACTCCTTCTTGTAGTTAATGTACCTAATCATCGAGAACTAAACATCCCAACGTACCTAATCTTCGGACGTGAACAGATCATATCTTTAAACCTGGGATCGAAAAAGTATTCCTATTTGCTGGGTATGGAGAATGTTTGGGATTTTGCACTTCAACAGGTTTCTTCTGTGTTCAAATATCATTACAAAGTAGTCTTGTTTTGATTATATATACCACGCTCAGAGAAATTCCTTGTCTCTTATTAATGTTCTGTGAAACTTCACATTCAATAGGAGAGTACCAAGGCTAGTTGTCTGTATGTCAGGGGCTGCATTTTCTTTCTGGTTCCTGTTATTTCATTGTAGGTTAGTTGGGAATGTAATACTTAATAGAAACTTCTGTTTCAACATGTTCAAAGGAAATCTTTCGTATGTCAAATAAACTGTTTGGAGTTTATCTGTGTTAGTTCCATGTTTTATACTTTTAATTTCATGGTTTTCATATCATTGAGTTTCATAAAATCAATAGAGGAAATTCCTTCGAGGTATGCACACTGTTGATGCAGCACTTCTACTTATTTTCAGGGTGTATGTTCTCTAGATTTGTATGTTATGTGGGGCTGCTTCTAGGCCAAATTTTAGTACATCAAGGCTTTTTGTTGTGGTGGTGTTGTTAAAACACTCTGTGTTACCTTTCTGTGCTATCATTCTGTTAGCACCCGCTCTTACTGCTCCGGGTAGTTAGAATCTAGACTTTGCCTCTGAAGCACCACGGTCAAGCCTGTCGTTTCCAGCTGAGTGCTTTCGGCCTTTCCTCCTTAATTACCCATCAGGATATACTTGCCCTACTCCATTTCCTCTGTTCCCACAGCTGCATTAAAAATTTGGCTAACAAATCCTTGTTAATGCTTTATTACTTTTTTAACATTTAATGACAAATCCGGTTTTATTGTGGCTTCATGGAAAAACACTTTTGACTTCAAAATATGAAGGGTTTCTGAACTGGAAGTGAATGAGTTATTTGGGTCACTCAGATCGCTTTTCTCCCCTCAAATTTCCCAAACAATGCTGGTGGTTTTCTATCCTCGTCTTACTGGTTGCTAACTATTGTTTTTATACAAATCTGAGTAAAAGGATTTGCTTATTAATGTTCTGCCAGGATTTGAACAATGAAATTATCATCCTCATTCTCAAAGGGCTTTAAAGGACACTTTGTACATTGGAATACCGGTTTCTTACAGGTGATGAAAGGAAGTATCTTTCATTATCTCATTCCTTATTTTGAAACAACAATCTTTCTCCCTAAATCATATTTCTGTGTATTTGAGATATAAGATTATCCTGATTTTAGTAATAAATCCAAATAGTTACTCAACTCAGCAGATGGTTACTATCATTTTCTGCAACAACAACAAAAAATGATCCCTCTTATCAAAAAGAAAATGCTTTGTGGAAAGGATTCAAAGAAAAAAGTCATAATATTTGTTAGGGTGATTAATTAATTTTATCAATTTGCCTTGACATCAAAGAGGGTTTCACACATCCTGAGAATGCCACATGGCCTCCTTAATTGTTAGATTTCTCTCCAGAGATGAAAAATTTAAATAGTTTTACTACTGAGTAATGTATTTAACATGTGTGCTAGAATGATTTCCACTGGTTATTGGAAGTTAACTCTTGCCAACATTACTTGTAGAAAAAGGCTTTTAATTGTTAATGCAACAAAACAGATGAACTGGTTTCTATCATTTGGAGTAGGTGCTCCAGTTGAGCAGTGACGAATGTGTGGGTAACTATAAAACATTAATGTAATTCCTGACATTTCTCGGGAAGAAAGATGGCTTTAGCACACTTTTTATAAGATTATATAAATAAAAATGGGGATTTTAGGAGAGATAATTACTGAAATTTGAGTTTCAATATATTAAGTATAGAAAATTTGGGCAGTATTACTTAATCATAAAATAATACAATGTTTGTAATGCATTATTGAAAAGAATAAAGCTCAGAACTAACCTCCTAGAGAAATATAAGATATAATGTAAAAATATGCACCAAATTCAGGATTGTGTATAATAAGGAGAATTTAGATGTTAGAAGTAAATGGTAGAGATAATTTTTGTCACAGTTTTTTGAGGAATTAAGTATACTATGATTTTATTAGGGCTACCGTGAAATTCGAAAATCATTTGTAATAAAAAATTCTCCTGAGTAAAGTACAACGAAACTCTAGCTAACACTGTTGTTTACCTGTAATATGGTTATCCAGAGGAAAAAGAACAAACACAATATATAGGGAGAGATTTATTATAATAAGTGTGTCACATAATTGTGGAGAATTAGCATTCTCTGCTGATATGCTGTCTGCAAACTGGAGACCTAGAAGACATTGTGGTGTCATTTAGTCTAAGTTTTAAAACCTAGCATTCTGGTAAACCTGTGGTGTAAATCCCAGTCCAATAACAAGCGACAATGGATATTCCATCTAAAGCAGGAAGAGAAGAAGCAAAAAGAGGTAAATTTAAGAACAGAAAATCAAACGCCACATGTTCTCACTCCTAGGTGAGTTCACTTTGACACAGGGAGGGGAACATTACACACAGGGTTATGTGGGGAGGTGGAGGATTAGGGGAGGGACAGTGGGGCATCTGGAGTTTGGGGTGGGATAACACTGGGATAAGCGGCCTATCCAGGTGCTGGGGGGATGGAGACAGCAAACCACCATGGCATGTGTGTACCTATGGAACAATCCAACAATCCTGCAACATCTGCACATGTATCCCAGAACTTAAAGTACAATAAAAAAAAAAAGAGGCGAATTAATTTTTCCTTTACCTTTAGTTCTATTTAGGCCCTCAAGGAATTGAATGAGGCCCAAACACATTAGTGGTCCTGTTAACTTGACACACAGAATTAACGATTATATTATCTTTTTAAATAGGAATATTATTTATAAAACTATTTATATCACTGAAGTAATTTTCTCATGAAATCCACTCTATACTAAAGTTTATAAAGACTTATATTTTAAATAAAGTTAATATTTTCTTTAGATAGATTAAATTATTAAACAATTTTACAGTGTTATGTGATGTTTAATTGTGCAGTTAACTACATTGCCTTATTAATAAGTGTGTCAAACATACTTTTAGTTTACTTCTTGAATTCTAGTCTGAGAATTCAAGGTTAATACTACCTTGTGAATTCTAGTCTAGAATTCACAAGGTTATTACTACTTTAACCTCAGAAACATATCCACTCTTAAAAAAAGATGCCAACTAGAAAAACACTCCATATTAATTGAAGTCAACTTGTAAAAAATATAGGTCATCAAATTCGAAAATAGAATTCTATCATTAAATTAGACTTCTTAAATGCTAAAATTTGGGACAGATAGCTTCATTAATATATCTTCATTGAATCATATTTTAGTGATAGGGTATAGAGTTTTAGGGTCTTTGTGCTTCTTTTTTCCCTGGGCTTCTAGATGGTTCAAACCAAGTGTATACATATGTATACATATATTTGAATCTGGTGAACCAATAGTATAAATCCCATTTCAAATACTAGTGAAGTTTGTCATATACATATATAAGTATATATATGTGTCTTTTTATTTGTGCTTGAATTTGTGCATATACATATGTATGTGTATGTATATTATATACTTTTTCAGCTTCGAGAAGTAGAATTTGTTAAGCATGTAAAATGCACATCAGCCTTGTCAAACTATGTTGGCTCCCAAAGAAGAGTAAAGCCCCTAATTGGTCTATAAATGAAGGCATTTTAATAGTTTTGATTGTGTAATACTTTTAGCAGCTGTAATACATACCCAGATAACAGTGTATTTAAAAATTTAGAAGATATTTCTCACTTACGCATACTGTAAGCACAAGAAGTCGAGAAATTGATCTATGAGTATACAAAAATCCAGGGTCTGTGTTGTTGCTTTACTTGTACATTGTGTATTGCTAGAGTTGTGCAAGTAAAATGGCTCTTTGAGAAAATAATACTGATTTGTGTTGTTTGTTGATTTTTGTTGCATAAATACTCCAACAATATCCAGTTTTAGGGTGCTAGTGGTTAAAACCCTAGATTGCAGCATTCCAGCTCTGGTACAAGTAGCTGTAGCACGCTACTGGGAATTGCCATAATCCCCATGTTTAAGAAGGTTCATTAGAAGTCTTATAGCCAGAGGATGAAGTCCTTTCTCTTATGAGTGTCACTTTACCATTTCTATCCTACTACTAGTCAGAAGTCCATTACATGTGCATGTCTAGTAGAAGGAGTGGCTACGAAGTGTCTTCTTTAGTTTGTCTACTTGATTATGTGTGTAGCTACAAACTAGATATCTGGTTCTTAGGAAAAAAAGAAGAAAAGACATTGGTGAACAATAGCAGATTTTTGCCACGAATAGGTATTTAAATTAGTGTCAATTTATAATCATAAGAGTGCAATAATGACTGAAATTAAGCAAGATTATGTGAGTAAGTTAATACAAGACAGGTGTTAATTTGACATGAATGTTCAATTTCAAGTAACAGAGAAGTGAATACCAAAGTTACTAAGTAATAACAGGCAAAGAACAACGCAGTGCTAAGTTAAAATAATGACAAGAATAATAGATGTTCAAGAAGTTAAGTATGCTCTGTGTGCACTAATTATCATTATATATTTTTCTGGAGGTTCTCTGATTGGCATATTAAAAATTACAGTTGAATGACTTAAGGAAAACATTCAACATTGAGAAGTCTTTCCCATTCCCCAGTTGTTTATTACTAAAAACAAATCAATAATGATAGTTTGAGAATTTTATATTCCTAAGAGTTCAGATAGAAGAATAAGTAATCTATGAGAGGTTGTCTATAATCAGTTGAACAAGATTGCCTGTTTATAAATAGAAAGTCTATCACAGCCAGTACATTTAATATAAGATTGTAGAGTTTGCATTAAAAGTATGTTTATATTACTGGACAATGTTCTTTAGGCCCACAAAGCAAAATAAAATAACATTTCTATGCTAATCAGTGACCCTGCCTACAATGTGATACCCTACCCACTTCTTTAAAATACCACGTTTTCCAAAACCTAAAATGCAATAAAATGCAATAAAATAAATAAATGGGAAAAAAAAATAAAAAAATACCACCTTTTACTCATCCTGACCTTCTGTAAGATATTAAACTATAACCTGAAAGAGTGGTTGCAATGACCTTTTTTCCTTAGAGTATTGTCCCATGATTCTCAATCAAATAATATATTTGTTAATTTATATCGTTTAATTCTTCTGTTATTTTGGTGGAAAAATTCTAAAAAGGGGATTTTTATATATTTTTTCACCTACTCTTATTCAATAAATTAAAGAAAAAAACAAAACTCTTGCTCCTAATACAAATAATTGATCCTAGCTTTCACTTATGTAAATATGTTTTCCTTATATGTATGATTTTCAATACTCCTATTTTATCATTATATTATTTTCTATTCTGAGACTCTGAGTCTTTGAAGATTTATGGTTGATATTTTTACTTTTTAAAATCAGTATCAAAGTTTCATTATTATTATTTGTCTGATACAGCTACTCATTTCCCTGTCTATGTTATACTTCCTTTTTGTGTGTTTCTAATAGGGTTGATGTTTTCAAAGACCACTGGATGTAGACATATATATGAGTTAATGTCTGGCGATTTTCTTTTCTATAATTTTGGCCTAATCTGCTGATCTCTCTGACCTTAGTTTCTACATTTGCAAAAGGGATAATATTACCCCCCTTAGTGATTTATAGTGATTTGGAGGGCTTATTTTATAAATTAACTATTGTATTTTGAAAGTTCCTCTTACTCAGATTCTGTTCAAAACGATGACTGGAATTGAGATTATATTAAAAATCTCTTATCTCTCTCTTCACATTTTAGAAAACGTGGAAATAAACTGTCCCACCATAAATGTTTTTTAAATCCCTTAATTGCAGTATATGAAGACATTGGAACTAGTATGTTTATTCTAGAAAATGTTATCCTAGAGGGTAATACTCTAACAATAACAACAATATATAATACTTATTGAACAAACAGTACATAAAAATCACTGTTTTAAGTGCTCTATAATCATTAACTCATTTAATCCTCACAAGAAACCTCTGCAGAAAGTATTAAAGAAGATTAAGGCAGATATTGCTACTGCTGTCTGTTCAAATTCAGCTGGCATTCAATGCCAGAAGGCCAATTTTTTCTATAACATATGTTTATTGCATCTCTTTGTCCTTTTTTTTCTTTCTTTTTTGTTTCTATGATGGATTCTCACCTTGTTGCCCAGGTTGGAGTCTAGTGCTATGATCTCTTTTCGCTGCAACCTCTGCCTTCCAGTTTCAAGCGATTCTCTTGCTGCAGTCTCCTGAGTAGCTGAGATTAGAGGGGTACATCACAGCTACTGCCGAATTTTTTGTATTTTTAGTAGAGATGGGATTTCATCATATTAGTAAAGCCAGTCTTGAACTCCTGACTTCGTTTTCCTCCCTCCTCAGCCTCCTAACATGTTGGGATTTCTGGTGTGAGCAACTGCTCTTAGCCCTTTTTGTCCTTTTAACACTTACTGAGAATCCTATAAATATTAGACTCATTGGGTTAATTTCTGTGAAACTGCGAAGGAATATATATTTTGGTGTGTTAAACTGAAAACTCTTATTGTGTAACTCAAAAATTTCCCATTTAAAATTGTTTTTGCTTATATTCTCTCTCATAAAATATTACTTTGGAGAGACAATTTTCACTTTTCGTTTTCACCTGTTATAGCTTTCCCCAACACCTGTTTTCTATTTAGTATTTCTTTTAAGTATGTTTTTGATAGAGTGTGTAAAATAATTATTTTTTTCCTAATTCAATCCAAGAATGTCTGTTTTAGTGGATGATACAATCCAATTACATTTGTTGTAATTTGCATGCTTTATTTTCCAATTTGTTTGTGTTTTCTATTAAACAGGCATGTCTTTGTCATCTTTGTTTTTTCTGTCTTATATTTGCTCACATTTGTTTTAGTATATGATTTTTAGTTATTTTAACCAGTATATGAAAATAACTTGTTATATTTGAATTTACTCTGCTACTTTGTAGTGCTTCCTGATGTATTTAGAAGTTTTGAAAAATTTGAAACCATTTCTTATTCAAGTATTTCCTTATCACATTCTTCATCTTCTATTGTTTATGAAATCCAATTACCTGTTGGTTGACTCTTTCACTGTGACTCACATATCTTTATAAATTTTTTTCATATTCCATTCTTTGTGCTTCAGATTGATTTTCTAAAATACTTTCCAGTTTACTGCTTCTCTCTTGAGATTTGTCTAATCTTTTATATTAGACATTGTTTAGTACTTAATTTTAGATATTTTCAGTTCTAGAATTACTATTTGATTCTTCGTATACTTTCTATTTCTTGGTTGAAATTGTGTTTTTTTTTTGTAATTTAATGTTCATGCATATTCACCTCCATTATTTTAAAATTATGTATTCCAAATTTCAATGTATGGATCTCCAGTGGATATATAAGCTGATTTTTCTCTTCAT